TTGACGAACATATTTCGTCATAGTTTTAGTCAACGAAATTAACACTACCCCACAGTTGATGTGTGTATTCCTCTGTGTGTAGTTAGGAGAACAGCTGGTTCAGTGGGTCCCCTCCAGTGGAGTAGATGTGGTGGAGCTGGAGGACGAAGGCGCATGTGTTCGCTTCAGCCCCCTCCTGACTGCTGCAGGTAGCCTCCACACACTCACACAGTGTCCTTGAGATATCTTAGATACTGTAATAAGGGTTAAACAACACCATGGTTCTCTGCCTGTGTCCAGTCCTGGGCACGCAGCAGGAGAACACAGAGGAGCTGGTGGAGAAGCTGTCGGAGCTGGTGCCTGCCATGTGCTCCACCATGAGCCTCAGGCAGGACTTCAGAGAGGAGGTCCACCGACACTCGCCCTCGCTCGCGTACCGAGAGCAGCTGAGCTGGCCCGGCCTCGGCGCTGTCCGGTAAGAGAGGAGTCTTTGAGGGCCTGCTGTCACATCACATTCATTAATCTGACGCTGATATCCAAAGCTACTCCAACAGGTGCCTCAACCCAAAATAGTGCATCCATTTATTTTCTTACATTCGTATTACAAATATCATGAGAGGTGCTTAAGTTACACAATTACATGTTTGACCTTAGATACATTAATTAATGTCTCTTCTGGACGTTATTAGGACAAACTTCTTCATTGGCAATAACAATCTTCGTATTATATAAACATGAGCATCACATTACCAGCAATGAACTACTACTACATTAACTGTAATATTAACCAGACAAGTGTAATTACAAGGAAACTTGTGTTACAACATATGTTAAATGTTCTTTAATATTTTCAGTGAAGCAGCCACAATATGCTGCTTTAGAAAGGAAAACAAAACTGTTGAATTATACTGTATACTTGCAATATCAAAATACTTATTAAATATTTCGTAATGTGTTGGATTTGAGAATTGATCTAGTCCTGTGACTGTTGTGACATGTTGACCTATGGTACAAATACATGATTTCTGCCCGAAACGTATGAAAACGCCTCCTGGCCACAGACAATAACCATGGTTTGGATCATAATAGAGTGGTGCAGTGGTGACGTATATTTAGCGCCAACCTAGAAGTTAGCATCCCAAGGGCTCCCTCGACAAAAAGCAATGGGATTGTTCCAAATAATTTTGGAATAAAAAAAAAAAAGCTCTGTGGCAAACAAACATTTATGATACATTTTCACACCACTTTATGATTTTTGAAGTGTAGATTACATCTCAATAAGTGAGGCTATAAACAAACTACAGCACAGTCACATGACTTCACAACACCAGCGCTAAGCTAAGGGCGGCAAATGTTCAGCGTGATGTTGTTTAGTAGTCTCATTTAGACACTTGTTAGCAGCAGCTGTTTTATGACACATAGCAGCTTCAGACCTCCACCAGTGGGGTATTTACTGACATATTGATGTGTGCGAAATAAATGTGAAAATCTCTTCATCTTGTGTTAACCACAGACCTTATTTCAGTCAATATTCAATAGTAATTATGGAATTTAATACTGTCCTGCTGCAACTTCCTCATTACTTTCATGTAATTGTTGTAATGTTGCTACTTACCTTTTTATACTTGGAATGTGTAATTATTATTTGATTCTACATTTTTAAAGTGCTCATTTTACTAAATACTGTTCTTATTTTGTCTCTATCATCATGTGAACGTCCCCTCTGTGTGACCCATGAATTCTGATTGCGATGTGTAGGTACGAGCCTCAGGCTGAGGGGATGGATGAGAGCAGGAGGGAGGAGGAGCTGCAGAAGATCAACAGTGAGCTACTGAAGAAACTTCAAGAACTGGACTCTGACATCATCTTTTCCTCCGGTGAGCACTCGCACATCTCAGAGGCCTGTGAGACTTACATGTTTCCGTGAAGTAAGATTGATTGTTTTGGTGTGTTCGTTTCCTGTCTCATGTCCCCTCACAGGCCCTGAGTTTGGGACAGAGGAGGACTGTATCTTTGTTGGCATGGTGACCGAGGACATGGATGTTTCAGAGTTGGTGGACACAGTAGCTGCCCTCGGGAGGGACATAGAGGAAAGCGGAAGGGTAACTGCTATAAATATAAATGTATAGAATACTGGAAGGTTGGCGTAGTTGCAAAAAGTCTCATCAAAGATGAATAAATATTTTACGTTCTGCAGTAGCAAAATAACACAATAGGCCAGGGGTGGCCAACCAGTCAGAGGTTAAGAGCCAACATTTTGACTATGTTACTGCAAAGAGCCACATCGAACACACAGTCACAGATGCACGTGCACCCCCCCTCCCTCCTTCTCTCTTTTGTTCTCAGCCTTTCTCTGTGCTCCTTCACTTTCTTCCTCCCCTCTCTCTCTCTCACAGATTAAAATGAAAATCTAAAACTTTATACACACACACACACACACACACACACACACACACACACACACACACACACACACACACACACACACACACACACACACACACACACACACTCAAAGACCCTCCCCACAGAGAGACACACATAGCTCTGCTCAGACAGATTTATTGTAAATGTCACACACCATAATATTGACAGAAATTGAATTAAACCTCTCCTACCAGTATTCAGAGGCCAGTTAACATAACAACATAACAATGAACATTTTGTGCACTCACACACAAACTCTCAGTAAAAGAAATTGAAAAGGTTTTTTATCTTACTTTAAAAGTGCTTCGTTATTTTTTTGAAAAACTGTGTCTGCTTTTCTGCCTGACTTTTCAAGGTGTTTATCTTCTGCTTGCGAAGTTCTTAGGTTTTTAGGATCAAACTCAGTTCATGGTCAGATAGTGTTTAATCAAC